TTCTCTCCATATAATGTCTATGTAGCTTAGACTGGGCCCAAACTTGCTATATAGCTTAGGAGAGTCTTGAACTCCTGGCCCTCCTGCCTCCCTCCTTCTAAGTGCCAGAATGACAGACGTGCAGCACTTTGTGGTGCTACGCTGCTGTCTTAGGTTGTCTACGGCCTTGTTTGTCCTGGGGAATCTCCAGCTCTCCGTCAAAGGGCGTAACCAACAATGACCAATCCACTTGTAAAAGGGGTTACTGGCTATTAACCATGCTATTTGTGTCAAAAGACATCACCCATTAGTCTGTCAACAGGGGTCACAGACAGGGTAGGCTATTGACTGCTGTTTGCCTCAGAAAGGATAGCACCAGTTCTGGTTTATGCCATTTGTAGGAGACAAAGCTGACTGATGTCCGTTCTGTCCCAGCTGGCACCTGGAAAGCAGCGGGGTATCGACTTTTTTTTTGTTTGTTTGTTTTTGTTTTTTCGAGACAGGGTTTCTCTGTGGCTTTGGAGGCTGTCCTGGAACTCGCTCTGTAGACCAGGCTGGCCTCGAACTCACAGAGATCCGCCTGCCTCTGCCTCCCGAGTGTTGGGATTAAAGGGCATGTGCCACCAACGCCCGGCTGGGGTATCGACTTTTTATTCTTCTCTTCCTACCTAGCATCCTTTACCTTAATGATGCAGACCTTGAGCTCAAATACAAATTCCTTTCCACAGCAATTTTGACCATTCATCTCCCTGGGGGGTTATGTATTTTGATCTGGTAAATGATGCAGGGGCAGCAGCAACATGCTGTCCAGAGGAAGCATTCAGATATGACTTCTCTGAAAGTGAATGCGGGAGTCTCGCTGGCCTCCCCGAGTTTGACTCCACTGTGGCGCAATAGACATGTGGGGAATTGCCTTGGATGGTTACGAACACCAAAACTTTAGGGGACAGCCAAGCCCTGCACTGATTTGAATACAGCCCAGGGGACAGCTCTTGAGGGTTTTGCTTTTGTTTTTATTTTCATGTGCAGATTCTAATGTATGCTCGAGTCGTGGTTCCGCCCGTCAGCTCTGGACGGACACGAAGCAGGGAGACTTGAGGCTGAGCTGGAAGAGCCACGCAGGGGTGCCTTGGGGTACGGTGTGAGCGTGCGTGTGTGCGCGTGTGCGCGTGTGTGCGCGTGCGTGTGCATGCGTGTGTAAGGGCGGAACTGTTATTCTTTCGGCCGCCCAGCGCACCCAGGCTTTTTTTTTTGCCAGCGCCACCAGCATTTCTGACGACTTCATTCCACCGCCCGAGAGCAGATTCCCGCCAGACCGGTTCTGAGATGCAGAACCGGAAAGGCCCTTCTCACAGGGAGTGTGTGTGTGTGTGTGTTGCTGGGTGGGGTGGGGCACGGGAGGGAGGAGGCAGCCCTGCGGGCTAGGCGGGGCGCGGGCTAATTGACTGTGGATGAGGGGAGGAAACAGAGGAAGGGGGTCGTGAAAAGCAGTACCTAGGTCTGCGGGACGGCCCAGGGGGTCCTGGCCACCGAGCTTCATCCTCAGAGCCCACACGCAGGTGGGGGAGCGCTGGCTCCACAAGGTTGTCCTGAGATGCGACACGCACGCGCGCACACGCGTACCTGCAGAGGCAGTTTTTTAAAATGGTGTTGAGATTAGGGAACGTACTTTAGGAAGCTGCTGTAAAGTGGAATTTCTTTTCTTGATATCTTGTGCTCCCCCTCTTTGTTTTCTGATACACGGTCCTCTATGCAGCTCTGGCTGGCCTGGACTCGCTATATAGGACAGGATAGCTTTGAACTCACAGAGATCTCAGGCTCCAGAGTGTTGGTCTTGTTCTTGTTCAAGTGGGCCAGACGTTGAGCTTGCTGTTACAGAGGTTGGCCTTGAGCTTTCTTTTAAAATTATTTCTGTGTGTGTGTGTGTGTGTGTGTGTGTGTGTGTGTGTGTGATGTTTGCGTGTGCGCACAGCTGTTCAGACACAGACATCAGAGGCCAACTTTGTGGAGTGGGTTCTTTCCTACCTTTCCCTGGGCTGCGGGGATTGAACACGGGTAGTCAAGCTGCTGAGCTTTACCCACCGAGCCACCCCACCAGCCTCTATATATCTGCCACTTAAACCACTTAGTTTGGGGGCTGTCGAGATGTCTCAGTAGTTAAGAGCACTGCTGTTCTTGCAGAAGATCTAAGTTCGGGTTCCAACGCCCACGCGGTGGCTCCATCTTTTTCTGCAGTTCCCGGGGATCTGCTGCCCTCTTCTGGGCTCTGTAGGCATCTCACGTACACAGTCTCTACACACGTGCAGGCAACAACACTCGAACACATAAAATAATAATAAATAAAATAAATAATGTACTTTCAATTACCTGCATATGTGTGTCTGTGTGATCATACTATTCTTTATAACTGAATGGTTGTTTTAGAATTATTTATGCCGGGCGATGGTGGCATACGTCTTTAATCCTAGTGCTGGGGAGGCAGAGGCAGGTGGATCTTTGTAAGTTCGAGTCCAAACTGGTCTACAGAGTGAGTTACAGAATAGCCAGAGTTAAGGAGAAACCCTGTCTGGAAACAGAACAAAACAAAACATATTATTTTTTAATAAAATAATTTATTTGTTTATATCTTATTTTTGAAATAGGGTTTCTTATGCCCCAAGTTGGTCTCAAACTCGGTATTAGCTGGCCTTGAACTCCTGGTTCCACCTCCTGAGTACTTGGATTACAGACATGGACCACGGTGTCCTGATTTGTTTCCCCTGCTAAAATCTGCCCTTTGAATTCTTACTAGGTGAGGGTTGGTCCGAAGAAGCAACTGAAGCCTGGGTGGCATCTCATCTTTTGGGACCACCCAATCTATTCTAATCTAGGCATACCAGAGTCCCTGCTTATCTTTAGGAAATGCAGAAAGAAAGAAGGCAAATTGCAAGTAGCTTTTAAATTGAGGATCTGGTTTTTTTTCCTGTGTCAATGTTCAGCAAAACAACACCACTAACCCCACCCACCCCAACCCAAACAAAAACCCAGCCAGGAACACATCTTCATTTGGGGACTCTGGATGAGTGGACTGGTAGTCACAACCTTCCTGGGACCCATTAGAGCAGCATGCTTCAATGGCCATAAAACTGTTCACACCCTGAGATCCAGTGACGGCTCTCATGGGGATAAGCCCTTGGGAAACAATTAAACAACTCGAAAGAGCGCGTACACACACAGGTGAAAGACATTCATTGTAGCGTGATTGGTATATGTAACAAGCTGGAGGGAGACCAAGTTCTCCACAATGAGGTGATTGTTAAACTACTGCATGTAGACCGATGGACTTTTATCCGGTTGTTGGATAATAATTATGGAGAACGTGTGGAAACATGAAACTATTTATGATTTTGGGGTATACACTTATTAAATAAGAGAACAAAGGCCCAGTATGGTGTGCCTGCTCCAAAGGTGGAGCAGAAAGATGAGTTGGAGGCTAGACTGGGCTCTGGGGCTGGTCTGGACTACAGAGATAAAGTTTCCTCTTTAAAAAGCTGTTCTTTTCTGGCTATTGAAGCTTGAGCTCCCACGAGCAGCAAACTCACTGGTGACATTAAGTACAAGGTTGTGTGGGCAACCCTGCACTGGGGTCAGCGTAGGTCTCAAAAGTTTCTGGAGGGGCTGGAGAGATGGCTCAGAGGATAAGAGCACAGACTGCTCTACCAGAGGTCCTGAGTTCAATTCCCAGCAACCACGTGGTGGCTCACAACCATCTGTAATTCAATCTGGTGCCCTCTTATGGCAGGTATATGTAATAAATAAATCTTTAAAAAATAAAATAATTAAAAAAAAGTTTCTGGAAATGGTGGGACTCCACATCAGCCTGAAGCATTATTAGAAGAACACAGCTTCTTGAGGACTTAGGCTTAAGTCACTCCCTGCCCCGAGGTCTCTGTGCACATCCACCGCTGTGCAATGAGGCTGTAGACGCTCCGGCTTGGGCACTCAAGAAGCTCAGCAGAATATGTTGATTCAGAGGGGTGGAGACATGCCTCAGTGGTTATGAACACTGGTTCCTCGTCCAACGGACCAGGGTTTGATTCCCAGCACCCACGTGGCAGCTCGTAACTGTCTGTAACTCCAGCTCCAGGGGATCTGACTTCCTCTTCTGGCCTCCATGGTGCAGATACATGCATGCGGGCAAGACACATACATAAATCTAAAGAAAAAAATAGGATAGGAAAAAGTTCTAGGAAGTTGAGATTAATTATGCTGTTCCATATAGAAGGAAAAATGGAAGAAAACAAAATAAAAACTGATGCTATAGATGACTGAAGAAACTACTTTGTTTGTTTGCTTTTGTTTTTCCATGACAGGGCTTCTCTGTGTAGCCTTGGCTGTCCTGGAACTCGCTCTGTAGACCAGGCTGGTCTTGAACTCATAGAGTTCCATTTGCCTCTGCTTCTGAGTGCTGGGATTAAAGGCGTGCGCCACCACCACCTGGCTGAAGATACTACTTAACATAGGGTCTTCTGCCCAGGCCCCGCATACCTCCTTTCTTTCCCTGTAAAAGAATCCCTTTCCTATACCTGTCTTTCCCGAGATGGTCTCCTTCGTGGGGGGGGGAGGTGAGCCTTCTCCATCTTCTCTGTGTGTCAGTCATTGAATAACCCTTATTTCCTACCTGGTAGCTCTTGCCCCCCGAGTATTGGCTTTCTGGGTGAGCAGATGTATGTGCTTTGGGTGACTGATATTGGATTCTATACATGTCTATACATTGTTGTTTCTTCATGTCAACACCACAGATGCCCCGACAGTCTTAATGCTTCAGGTCCTGGAGCAGAGCAGCAGGGCGGGGACCTGCATGAGATTTGCAGCATAACTCTTTTTTAGGTGTCTGGGAGTTTTTCATTTCATAGTTCTGGAATGCCGTTGAACAGAGGTAACCAAAGCCTTAAAAGACAGAAACCACGGGTGGAGAGGGGATGCTTGAAGTATACATGGCAAACTGCCAGGAAAAATGAGTAAGTTTCACACAGGAGGTGTAGAGTTCAGGTTGTTTAATATACCGTCTTTGAGAGAGCCAGGAAAAGCAGGTGAGCAACAGTGAAGTTTGTTTTGCAGATTTAAGTCAGCACTTCTCTGGTGACCAAAGTTTAGTTACCTTGCCCTTCCTGGTGCAGAGGAGAGACACTTTTTTTAAAAATTTAAATTAGAAACACTCTTATTTTACATATACCAGTTCCCTCTCCCTCCCATGCTCTCGCCGACCCCCCATCCTATCCCAGTTCCCTCTCCCTCCCATGCCCTCACCGACCCCCCTATCCTATCCCAGTTGCCTCTCCCTCCCATGCCCTCGCCGACCCCCCCATCCTATCCCTCTTCTGCTCCTCAGTGAGGGTGAGGCCTTCCATGGGGGAGGGAGACACTCTTGTAAATGGAAATTTCTGTCTTGATGTGACTTCCCTTACTAAGAGCGCATTTTCCAAGGCTGGGAGTGCGGTTCAGTGGTGGAAGCTTGTGCACTTAGTAGGAGCACGGTTCTGGCCTACCCAGGGCCACTCGCATCTATAACTAACTAACTGCTCACTCCTCTACCCATCCGGGACTAACTGCTCTACTCCTCTACCCAGACAAGCCTCTAATTGGTTTCTGTTGGGAACTCACGAATGCTGGAAGTCTTCATTCTGCAGAGGAGAATGGCAGCTCCTGTTGGACAGGGGCGAATCTGGGTTTGAGAGAGGGTCAAGGAAACAGCACTACGGGGCGGGGAGATTTGCCTGGTGACAGGAGACTACAGTTTTTTTTTTCTGTAAAGATTAAAGCAGAAGGTATTTCCTCCCTGTGGTGACTGGAATTTCTTGTTTGTAGACTCTCTTGGCTGTGTTTGGGCTCTAACTGCTTCCTTAACTTTTCAGTCTGTTAGACAGATTAATCTATTTGGTTTGGTCTGATCTTGTTTGGGTCCCACAAGGAACTCAGTCCACAGTCATGGCTTCTCATTTCAATTTACTACATCTTTAAAAAAAATATCTCTGTCACTTGGGAGGCAGAGGCAGGTGGATCTCTGTGAGTTCGAGGCCAGCCTGGTCTACAAAGTGAGTTCCAGGACAGCCTCCAAAGCCACAGAAAACCCTGTCTCGAAAAACCAAAAAAACCAACCAAACAAACAAAATATCTCTGTATTTATGTTATGTGTAAGTATGTGTGCCATATGTGTTCAGGAGCCCTTGGAAGTCAGATGAGGGCATTAGATCACCTGGAACTGGATTTACAGGTGGCTGTGAGCCACCGGGATTAGAACCTCAATTTTTGTTTGTTTTTGAGACAGGGCTCACTATGCAGCCTTGGTTGTTTGGACTCAGTATACAGACCAGGGTGGCCTCGAACTAGAGCTCTCCCTGCCTTTGCCTCCAGAGTGCTGGGATTAAGGGTGAGGGACACCACACCTAGCTGCCCCCACCTCTTGATGAGAGGAGCGCTTGCATACATAGGAGGGGAGAGATGTGGGTGACATCTTTGGATTCTGCTCCCACATTAGGTAAAACCCAGGTGCAGGAGGAGTGGGGGCAGGGTGAGGGGCACTTGACATTTGACGAGTTTTGAATAATAGACTTCGAGCAAAACAGACATATTTCATTTCAGATGGAAGGGATGAGTGGTCTGCAGGAGTCTGCAGATCTGTAAGGCCTGTAGATCTCCCACTTCTGCAGCCCGGAAGACCTCAGAGTTAAACTACCAAGCAGCTGCCCTGCAGAGTCAGGCAGACCTGCGGTGACTTTGAACCAGCAGGCACTGAGGCACTGTTGTATTAAGTCATTGGGGTTTTGAGTTTGTCTGGGCAGCACTATTTAACGAGTCCATCCTATTACAACAGGTGTCTTCCGTTCTTACCTGCCCACTGGCCCAGGCCCTGCCGCCACGCCCTGGCCCAGGCTCTGCCGCCTGTCTCCTAAGCCAGTCTTTGACGCTGCTCTGACTTCTGGTTTCTTTTTTGTGACTTTGCCCATCTGTGCGGCTGCTCCATCTTCTCTGGGTAAGCTTCGCCTGATCCAGTGTCGACACAGCTTGCCCCTCAGGTTTTTCTTGAGCCACATACAAAGCACCATGGTCTAGGGACATGGACTCGGGTTGTCTCGAGTAACATGTTCTAACAGGGAAGCAGTTTCATGAAGTTTTTATAGTTCATGAGATTTTTATAGTCGAGAAACAAAAGAGAGCCATAAATCGAGGCAGTTTTCAAACACGTTGGTGGGAACCCAGGCAGGAGACTCAGTTACAGCTGTTCGATGATGTCTGGTCCTTAGGTCCGTGGAGGTTACTGGTTTTCTAAATCCATATATTCTAAAGCTTTTTTTCCTGTCTGATAGCCGAGAGACGGTAGGTAGACACAAATGTGAGCAGCGAGGGTCTGTTAACCGGACCAAAGATAACTTGGCTGTGAATCTGCAACATTCCAACTCTCCATAAGCAGGAATTTCTAGTAGGCCAATCAACCTTGAAGAATCTTAAATCTTAAATTAGATACGGCTTCTGTGTGGAAACTTCAGCTTCTAACAGTGTTGCCCCTGAACCTTTTAGCCTGGAGCGCCTGCTGCGTTAGTTTTGGACTCCACTAGGACCTGGCAGAGAACACAGGGGAGAAAAACGCTCTTATTTAAGTCTTTGAGACAGGGCTCTCTGTGCTTTGGAGCTTGTCCCGGCCTCGAACTCACAGAGATCCGCCTGCCTCTGCCTCCCGAGAGAGAGCTGGGACTAAAGGCGTGCGCCACCACCGCTCGCTTTTTTTTTTTTTTTTTTTTTTGGTTTTTCAAGACAGGGTTTCTCTGTATTGTTTTGGAGGCTGTCCTGGAACTCACTCTGTAGACCAGGCTGGCCTCGAACTCACAGAGATCCGCCTGCCTCTGCCTCCCAAGTGCTGGGATTAAAGGCGAGCGCCACCAACGCCCGGCCACCGCTCGCTTTTTTAACAAATAGCTTCTTACAATGGCTCCTGTTTGTATGAATGTGCTTGTTGCCGATGGGCGCCACCAGGGGGCGCCAGGCACCGGGCGTAGCTGCTGGGAATCTGCGGCGTTTTCTCTGCGACTGTCCGCCAGTTTCTGCACCTGCCATTATTTGGAAACGCAGCAAATATAAGAAAAAGCGGGCAGCAAGAGCAGAAGTCACCCCAGTGAAGGGAGACAGAACCCACGTTTAAAGTTTAACACTCCCAAAAAAAGTGCTTTATACTGCACAGTCTATTTTTTAACCAGTATTGTCAGCCTCGCAAGAAGCAAGGCCTCAAAAAATTAGTTTAAGACTCAGAATTGTTCCTCTCCACGGAAATCTTTAGTAAAAGGCGAAAGATTTATACGATCTGAAGAGAAACCAGAGTATGCTCTGTGCCTCCCGGTGTACAGTTCTCGGCCGACGGTACCTCCTAGTTCACCAATGGTAACTATTCTCCCACTAAAAACGGTGACTGCTTCTTTCAACTAAGACAAAACCTTGAAATTTCTACCAAATTAAGAAATTAGGATGAAGAATAATAATAAAAAAGAGACATTGCTCTTTTAAATGATGTAACGATCCCAGTGCAGTGCATTGTGGGTATGCAAATATAGACCAGTGGCTGCCTGTCCTTCGGTTTCCGGAAGTGCCAGGAGTTTGTCCCCGTTGCTGCTAGGCAATGGGCAGCCACTAGGGGTCAGAGCGAAAGCCAGATATATACAAAAGCGGTCAGACTGGTCCAATATCCCAGCGTGACTTTGGCCTCTGTGTGCCCTTTAATTTCAGCATCGTTAGGTAGAGGCAGAGGAAGGGGGAGCTTTGAATCTGAGGCCTGTGTGGTCTGCATAGCGAGTGCCAGGACAGCCAGGGTTACACAAGGGAAAGTAATTAAAACCAAAATACGCCTTTTATGGGCAGAGCCCATTGTAGAGCACCTGTCTAGCATGCGTGAGGGACTGGGTTCCATTCTTAGCTCCATTGTATAAAAATGAAACAAAAGGGCTGGAGGGATGGCTCAGAGGCTAAGAGTACTGGCTGCTCTTCCAGAGGTCCTGAGTTCAATTCCCAGCAACCACATGGTGGCTCACAACTATCTACAGTGAGATCTGGTGTCCTCTCTGGCATGCAGGCAGAACACTATATACATAACTAGTAAACAAACAAACAAACAAATAAATAAAATCCTAAAAAAAAGAAACAAAAAAGTTGAAAAACAAATTCTTGTCCTTACAACCAGCCTACAGGCGACATCCCCAGAAACCTAGGTAACAAAGAAGACCCTAAGAGACACTTACATGGATCCACCTAGGAAGGGGAAAAAGACAAGACCTTCTGAGTAAATTGTGAGTGTGTGTGTGTGTTGGGGGGGTAGGGAGAAGGGTAGGAGGGGAGTGAGGGGAAAAGGTATAACTTAATAAAAAAATCTTGTCCTTAAGACTGGGGATACAGCTCAGTGGCAGAGGGCCTGCCTGCCATGCAGAAGGAGGTGGGATTAACTCCACTGAAGGTCTTTTCATCCTGGTACGGGTGGCACACTCCAGAACTCTCAGCACTGGGAGCGCTGGGACGGAAGGACCGTGAATTTTAGTAAGGTAAGGCTTATCTAACATAAAAGCAAGCATTGTTTTTAGGGATTATTTAATAACGTGGAAAAAGTGTTCAAAAGTTTTGTGAAAGTAAATAAGCAATCTAGGGCTTCTGTGTTTACTTATGTCCAGAGCTTGGAGTCGAACGTTGGACACGGGACCCACTACCACCCAGCTACACCTCACCTTGCTTTATTATGATGGGAGAACAGTAGGACGCCGTCCTTTGTTTACGAGACTGATCCGGAAATCACTAAGTCCAAGAGGGTGTGGACCTCTGAGTGGCCCTCCTGCCTTGGCCTCTTCCCAGATCTGGGTGTGAGCCTGTCGCTGAGGGTGACCTGGAACTCCCGATAGGTTGCCTGCTTTTCTTCAGAGCTTGGAATGGACTCAGGTGCCTCTGTGCCAGCATCACTGATTCTAAAAAACAAAACAAAATCCCCATCTTCTTCTGCAGTAAATATTCAGGGAAGAACAGGAAATAAACTCGAAGAGATTTTACATAATAAAAATTAATATGCATATGTAAATGTGGTATCAATTATTGAATTAATCCTAAATAAGAATGCATTTGGACAATAACTCCCTCTCTCTCCCTCTCCCCTGCCTCTCTTTCCTCTCCTCTTTCCCGCTGCTCCTGTCCGTGGAATCCGGTCTCCCTCCTCCCCCTCCCCCCCTTTTATGATCCCTCCCCCCCACTCTATTGCGTGGCTTCTTTCTCTCTTTCGACACTTAGGTTCCCAGCATTGATGTCAGGTAGCTCACAAATGACTGGAACTCCTTTACCTGGGTTCACCGTTGTTAATATTTTGCCATATTTGTCCCCTGCCCCCATTTTTTAAACACCATTTTAAAGTCACTCAAAGGGAAGTTAGTTAACCATGGCCCTTTCATGTTAAATAACTATGGGTTTTCTAATAGTAGGATCATTAACACGTATTACTATAGAACAACTTTAACATAATTGGCACTTTCCTAGGGTGCCCTACTAGCCTGGGGATCACTCAGGGTTGGCATTGGTTGAAATTTCCATGGCTTTTGTCCTCTCCCATTGTAAGGAGGCGTCTAGTCCTCTTTGAAGTCCACAATCCCCAGGGGTAAGTCCCCAGTCCCCAGGGGGTATCTAGTGTTTAACAAATAGGGACTCTTGGTTTTTCTCATGTGTCAGCTATGAGGATGAATCTTTATTGCCAACTTGAGGGCATTTAAAGTAGTCCAGGAGACGCTCTGATCGCTCGCCTTACGACACATATTCCACCACGGTTCTCTACAGGTTACGTTAGGCTCTCATATCTTTATGTCATCTTAGGTGTTTTCTTCCTTTTCTGGAGTGTTCTATCCCATTTTCTCCCTGACTTGTAGCTGCTACTCGTTTCCCAGTCTGTGCCAACTTTCTCCAGCAGGTTGCCAGTCTCTGTCCTATCCCACCCATCCCCAGCTGGTGTCC